TTTTTATGTGTGTTACCGCATAACTTTGTACTGGGTGAATGGATTTCGATGATTTTTTTTATGTGTGTTACCTCATAACTTTGTACTGGGTGAATGGATTTCGATGATTTTTTTTTATGTGTGTTACCTCATAACTTTGTACTGGGTGAATGGATTTCGATGATTTTTTTTTATGTGTGTTACCTCATAACTTTGTACTGGGTGAATGGTTTTCGATGATTTTTTTTTATGTGTGTTACCTCATAACTTTGTACTGGGTGAATGGATTTCGATGATTTTTTTTTATGTGTGTTACCTCATAACTTTGTACTGGGTGAATGGATTTCGATGATTTTTTTTTTATGTGTGTTACCTCATAACTTTGTACTGGCTGAATGGATTTCGATGATTTTTTTATGTGTGTTACCTCATAACTTTGTACTGGGTGAATGGATTTCGATGATTTTTTTTTATGTGTGTTACCTCATAACTTTGTACTGGGTGAATGGATTTCGATGATTTTTTTTATGTGTGTTACCTCATAACTTTGTACTGGGTGAATGGATTTCGATGATTTTTTTTTATATGTGTTACCTCATAACTTTGTACTGGGTGAATGGATTTCGATGATTTTTTTTTATGTGTGTTACCTCATAACTTTGTACTGGGTGAATGGATTTCGATGATTTTTTTTTATGTGTGTTACCTCATAACTTTGTACTGGGTGAATGGATTTCGATGATTTTTTTATGTGTGTTACCTCATAACTTTGTACTGGGTGAATGGATTTCGATGATTTTTTTTTATGTGTGTTACCTCATAACTTTGTACTGGGTGAATGGATTTCGATGATTTTTTTTTATGTGTGTTACCTCATAACTTTGTACTGGGTGAATGGATTTCGATGATTTTTTTTTATGTGTGTTACCTCATAACCTTGTACTGGGTGAATGGATTTCGATGATTTTTTTTATGTGTGTTACCTCATAACTTTGTACTGGGTGAATGGATTTCGATGATTTTTTTTTATGTGTGTTACCTCATAACTTTGTACTGGGTGAATGGATTTCGATGATTTTTTTTTATGTGTGTTACCTCATAACTTTGTACTGGGTGAATGGATTTCGATGATTTTTTTTTATGTGTGTTACCTCATAACTTTGTACTGGGTGAATGGATTTCGATGATTTTTTTTTATGTGTGTTACCTCATAACTTTGTACTGGGTGAATGGATTTCGATGATTTTTTTTATGTGTGTTACCTCATAACTTTGTACTGGGTGAATGGATTTCGATGATTTTTTTTATGTGTGTTACCGCATAACTTTGTACTGGGTGAATGGATTTCGATGATTTTTTTTATGTGTGTTACCTCATAACTTTGTACTGGGTGAATGGATTTCGATGATTTTTTTTTATGTGTGTTACCGCATAACTTTGTACTGGGTGAATGGATTTCGATGATTTTTTTTTTATGTGTGTTACCTCATAACTTTGTACTGGGTGAATGGATTTCGATGATTTTTTTTTATGTGTGTTACCTCATAACTTTGTACTGGGTGAATGGATTTCGATGATTTTTTTTTATGTGTGTTACCTCATAACTTTGTACTGGGTGAATGGATTTCGATGATTTTTTTTTTGTGTGTTACCTCATAACTTTGTACTGGGTGAATGGATTTCGATGATTTTTTTTATGTGTGTTACCTCATAACTTTGTACTGGGTGAATGGATTTCGATGATTTTTTTTATGTGTGTTACCTCATAACTTTGTACTGGGTGAATGGATTTCGATGATTTTTTTTTATGTGTGTTACCTCATAACTTTGTACTGGGTGAATGGATTTCGATGATTTTTTTTTATGTGTGTTACCTCATAACTTTGTACTGGGTGAATGGATTTCGATGATTTTTTTTATGTGTGTTACCTCATAACTTTGTACTGGGTGAATGGATTTCGATGATTTTTTTTTATGTGTGTTACCTCATAACTTTGTACTGGGTGAATGGATTTCGATGATTTTTTTTTATGTGTGTTACCTCATAACTTTGTACTGGGTGAATGGATTTCGATGATTTTTTTTTATGTGTGTTACCGCATAACTTTGTACTGGGTGAATGGATTTCGATGATTTTTTTTTATGTGTGTTACCTCATAACTTTGTACTGGGTGAATGGATTTCGATGATTTTTTTTTATGTGTGTTACCTCATAACTTTGTACTGGGTGAATGGATTTCGATGATTCTTTTTTTATGTGTGTTACCTCATAACTTTGTACTGGTGAATGGATTTCGATGATTCTTTTTTTATGTGTGTTACCTCATAACTTTGTACTGGGTGAATGGATTTCGATGATTCTTTTTTTATATGAAAGCTGATAGTTCTCGTATGGTCCCATATGAATTTGATCAAGTTCAGACCAATGGTTATTGAGTTATTTTTAAATAACTTATATTGAAGTCGGCTGTACACAATTTTTAATTTTTAATTATTTATTTAAAATATTAAAGTTTTTCTAACGATAATTTAAAATTAAAAATTTTGTACAGCCGATTTCAATATAAGTTATTAAGAATAACTCAAAAACTTTTAGTCTGACCTTGATCAAATTCATATGGGACCACACGAGAAGTACCAGCTTTCAAATAAAAAAAGAATTATCGAAATCAGCTCATCCAGTAAAAAGTTATGAGGTATAACACACATAAAAACATACAGTCGAATTGAGTACCGTCTCCTTTTTGGAAGTCGGCAAAAATTAATATCATGCCTAAATATTGAAGTCTTTAATTTTATTGTAATTATTACTTTTAACAAAAAGTAAAAACCGACTTCAAATTGCTAAAAAGGAAGTCATTTATTTGCTCATCTTAGGGGTGGAATTTTTTCTCCAAATTTATATGGGACCACAAGTCATCAAAATTGGTTCACAATCTGCGAAGATATAGCGTAACATACATACAAAAAACATACATTCGAATTGAGATCTTCCTTTATCACTACTTTGTTCTGCTATGGCTTCACCAGTGATTTGTATTTAAAATAAAATGCCACCGGTGATTTTACCAAAAAATAAAATTCAATAAAAATGCCTAAGATGTACGAACAACATTAGTTCAATTTATGGTGCCTTCGCCAATGATTTTTACTTTAAATTTTTATTGTCACGTACCAGACGATTTGCAACGGGCTTGGCGAAAAAAAAAATTCATTAGGAAGCTTTGCTTGAATCTGAAATATTGTATGAAACATTATTTAAGCGTATTTGCAATGAATTTTATATTACTTAAATAATCTCCTCGAACATTCGCAAGGAATTCAATGAATGGGCGACAATAGGAATCCATAAAAGTAGATAAAGGTTATATGAAGTTTACCATGAGAGGTCATATAATCCTAGCGTCGAATTTAGGGAATATGTGAAAAATATTTAAATTAGTGTGCTCCACAGCCAAGTCTGCATTAGACCAACAAAATTAAGACGACTACTAATAAATATTAAAATGACGTGGATTATAATTAATGGTAAAACAGGTAAGGTAAACTCTCGTAATTCAAACTACCAATTATAATAATATTAGATTTAGTGCATTAACTAAATCATATCAGGACATTGCAATGGTTTTTGAGAACTATTTATACTAAGTAACTGAAGGCTTCTCCTGCCGTCGCCGAATCATTACTCAAACAAAATGTAAATGAGTATTCAAAGAATTTCATACAGTATCACTAAAAGAGATTATAAAATTTTTAAAACTATTCATATTAAAAAAAAACCGCAATGCGTCTATAATAGATACAATCACAGTTCTATTATTTTTAATATTAGTATCGAATCTCGTGTGTTTCCTGATTTAATGAAACTTAGTAAAGTAATACATTTACATATTTAAATCTGGTAGTAGTAGTGCCTAACATATATTATGACTAGCTGATACCCGCTCGCTTCGCTAGGTGCATGATAATATGTTATTGTAGGATTTTTTTTGATGGAACTCACATAAAATCCGTTCTTAGTAAGTGTCTACGTTGCGAAATGAGTAACTATACTAAATTTCAAGTCAAACGGATGTATAGTTTTAGATATCTCATAATGAGTCAGTCAGTCAGTGGTATTTCGCTTATATGTATATGTAATATATAATATAGATTATAAACTGTTTTTTTTTTTCAAAAAAGTCCCGCCGGGCTTCTTGCTGCTTCTTAAGGTATTTTCCAAATCAGTGGTAAATTAAACACAAAGAGTGACTTTCAATAAGTATTATTTATAATCTAATAAAAAAATTGTTTCTGTTTCAATACCCCAGTATATTCTAAGTGTATGGTTTCAAATTAAGCCATAGAATTTCTTGACTTCGCGTCACTATGATGCCGCGACGTGTCACCTTTAGGTGTTACTGGTGCTGCATAAAACTACAATGAAGTACGAAATATATATATACCTAGTCAGGTCATAAATTCTGTCACATGTTTAATATAAAATAAACCTAGCAAGCTAACAGCATAGCAAAGTGGCGAAGCAATCAGCTTTGTAGCGGTTTCTAACGGTTGCCGTTGAGCAATCAGTTTCAGCATAGGAGGTTCAGATGCCTGGGTGATCAGTAATCGATTGCTGAAAACAGAATTTGAAAATTCAAAACCGTTCTCGAGGTAATCGTGGGAAAGACGGACAGACGGACAGACGGACAGACATCGTGAAATCAATAAACCTAGCAAGCTAACAGCATAGCAAAGTGGCGAAGCAATCAGCTTTGTAGCGGTTTCTAACGGTTGCCGTTGAGCAATCAGTTTCAAAATAGGAGGTTCAGATGCCTGGGTGATCAGTAATCGATTGCTGAAAACAGAATTTGAAAATTCGAAACCCCGTTCTCGAGATAATCTTGAGACAGACGGACAGACGGACAGACATCGTGAAATCAATAAGTGACTTCGCAAGCTTCGCCACTTAATAATTGAAACAAGTTTATTCATTATGTAACCATTTATATACCAAAATGAACTTAACAAAACATAGATTCTTATGACACTAAAAGAAATTCAAAATGACCTCCGTGATTTTGAATACAGGCCTTCAATCTGCGCGGCCAGTCGTCTATCGCAGCACGAACGAGGTCCATGTCAATATCGGCGGCTGCCTTAATCAAGGACGTCTTGAGTGACTCCAAATTGGGATGAGGCTTTGAGCACGCCTTTTCCTCCAAGTGTTGCCATATCTTGTAATCTAACGGATTCAAATCTGGATTGGAGGAGGGCCAGTCTTCGTGCCGGATGAAGTCGATTTCACGCGCCGCCAGCCAGTCTTGTGTGCTATTCGCTCTATGAGCTGGCGCCGAATCTTGTTGGAATACCCAGTGCCTGTTATTGAACATGGTATGAGAAACAGGTTCCACAAGGTTCGTCAGGACTGTATTTTGATACACAACTGCATTCGTTTTTACACCTTTCTCACACAAATGTACCTCTGTTAAGCCCCAATAAGAAACTCCCAACCATACCATGAGCGAGGATGGAAAATGACCTCGTTGGACACGCGGAATACGGTTGCTCGCTTCTTCACTACTGTGTGCGTACACCTTATCATTTTGTTTGTTGTAGCTCTCTTCTACGGTAAAAATTTTTTCATCCGAAAAAAGAATTTCCCGATATTTTTTTCCTGCGTACCGTTTCAACAAAGCGCGGCATCTCTTCAGTCTCAGGTCCATTAGACGAGCATTCAAACGATGTCCTGTTTTTCTTCGATATGCCCGAAGCCCTAAGTCTTCATTTAACACCCTTTTCACCGTGGTTCTGCTTAACCCCATCTGAAGGGCCAACAGTTTCTGCTTACGTTTGGGATTTCTTTGAATTCGCGCCTTCACAGCTTTTATCACTGCTGGAGTCCTAACAGACCGAGGGCGACCACTTCTTGACCTGTCGTCTACACTAGAGTCTTCATTGTATCGTTTGATGGTACGATAAACGAATCTCTTGGTTATATTCAAATTTTTCAGTATGTCAAAAATTTGAATTGGCGCGTAACCGCAACGATGCAACGCAATAACTGCAACACGGTCTTCTTTAAGCGTCCACTCCATATTTAAAAATGAGTAAAATTCTAAAAAGTATACAGTTTTATTTTCATGAACAATTCGAAATTCGAATTCAATAAGCTTTTTTGTGGCCAGCATTCTAAAAGATAAGTTTTTACTGTGTGACAATACTTATGACCTGACTAGGTATATACAGTGGATTTCGGGTATAAAGACGATGAAGGGACCACTCTATTTTCATCGTTATATCCGGAAGTCGTTACAGGCAAAGGTAACAAATTTAATACATTACAGTTGCTACTCAGAATATCACTTTGTAACTGAACCATAAATTTAACTCCGAAACGTACATGCTTCTCTACCTACTTAGCTTATATCTATAAACAAAAGGTAAAGGTCTCCACACTTGCTGAGCATCTGTATTTACATCCATACATATCTATACAAAAGATAAGAAATGTTTGTGAAAGAAAGAAAGAAATCTTTGTGTCTTTGGCGGCCGACTCTGGTCGCAATATCTGCATGGGATTTCTAGGAATTTGTTACAAATGATTTATTAAAAACAGTCGCTATACCCGAACTCGGCGTTACATCCAAAGTCGCTATAGCCACATGAATTTTGTACTAAAATATGCTTTAAATTCAAGGGACTTAGATTTAACGTCGCTATAAGCAAATGGTCGCTACAACCAAGGTCGTAATAAATAAAATCCACTGTATATATCTTTATATATAAAAATTACGTGTCACATTGTTTGTCCGTTTGAACTCCCAAATTACTAAACTGATTGCAACACTATGTTGCTCTAACTTGAGAGATAGGATAGTTTTTATCCCTATAAGTGACCCTCAATATTTTTTATTACGAATTTAAGACTTGTTATAGGATACAGGGTCGTCGGAGAGGGCAGAACAACGTCTGCCTGGTCAGCTAGTACGAGTATATAATAAGTATATATAAGATATTATTTCTTATCGTTATTGCTAAACTATGTAAAAATATTATAAAATATGATAAGTTTACTTAAATACAAAATGACTACATACAAATATGAAAAAATTACAACCATTGAAGTATAATGAGCTTAGCTACATATTACTTCAATAACTACAACCTTGTACTCTATTTATTCTGTGCTACAACTACAGTTCTATTACAATTGGACAATGGAATTACTTTATTCATACCATATTTGAGAAGATGATGATGATATTGACAGATGCAAGAAGTCGATGGATGCAGGACCGTGCCTAGTGGCATTCTGTGGGGAGGCCTATGTCCATCAGTGGACTTGTGATAGGCTGAAATAATGTACAGAAATTGTGGCGAAGGCAGTCTTCTAATTACTCATAATTAAGTAAAAGATTCGGGGTTTCTCTGCGTATTAAACTTAGAAATGAGGATATCCGCAGTAGAACCAGAGTGACTGACATAGCCCAACCGATTAGTAAGCTAAAGTGGCAATGGGCCAGCCATATAGTAGGGCGTCCTCCCACTAGATGGAATGATGACCTGGTAAGACGCATGCCTTGCCAGGAAGTCGATGGATGCAGTTGGCTCGGGACCGTGCTTTGTGGCATTGTACCATTGGCCAATGTACAGCAGTGGACTTGTGAAGGACTATAATGATGATGATGATGGTGGTGGTGATAATGATGAAGGTAAAGATATCTAAATTATTACAAATTTTTGTTTGTAAATATTGTTATTATTTACTATATTAAAAAAAAGAAATACGCATTTATCCAACAAAATATTTTTTAAGATTATCAACGTTTACCTTTTTTAATTTTGTTCACCCAACTATCGGTCAAATGGTTGCTAAATAAACGAGTGAGTGCGGAGCTGTCTCATTTTCCTTGCCGTATTATCTAAAGCTGGATATACATGCAACGATCGATCGTATCGATTTATCTGCGCATGTGAAACAGCCTGTTAATAATTGCTTTTCGCTTTAGTTCAAAAGCTGTGCATGGAGAAACTCATGACCATGGCTTGTTTGTTTACATATACATACGTTCCAATACATGAAAATACAGATCGATCTTTACAGTCCATCGCTACGTGTAAGGTCAGCCTAATTATCGTATACGAGACAGCACACAGCAATTTACGGCTATTTTAGTCAAACGCTGAAGTGGCAACGCCAGTGCACTCTGGCGGTCGCGGAGACTCAGACAGATACGTTTGCGTCGCGTCGTCCGCGCAGTTTAATTTGTTTTAAGTGTTTCATTTCAATTCGAATAGTATAATAAGAAGGCGAATTTCAAACCTTAAAAGGTAAACAAACGAAGCACAACTGTCATATAATATTTTCACTAACTTTATTAATTTACTATATAGTATATAATTCACGTGTAGGTTATGCTTTATTTACAACGCAAAAATTACTAAATTGAAACCAACATTGAATGCTCAACTGAGTTTTGTAGTATTATTTTGTTTCTAGAATTTATAATATGTCCTCCATGCATTACTAAGTAGAGTTTAAGGCAATGATTTGACTTTTGCTTCCAAAAATCTTCCGACCAAGCCTCGGATTCCTTGTCCCCCCCCCCCCCCCCTACTCTGCTTTGCCACTGATTGAGAACAAGTAAATCAACATACTAATTTAAATTCCATTCACTAAATTAAATTATTATTGTTACAAAATTTTGTTGATTTTATTTATCAGCATATAACTTAATTTATTTACATATTAATTTAAAACTTTATAAACATAAGTACTTCGTATATAAGTAGGCGTACTTAATGTCTGAGACATTTTCTACCAGACTACCTTAAAAATATAATATTTCCAGGATTAAATTATAATTTTGAATTTATATATTTATTTCGTAGTTGTGCAATTAAAATAACTAACAAGCACACATCACAATTCAGTTCACGTTATAAAATATGATGTCATCAATGGATTTTGCTTTTGGGTTATTCTCTTTAGTGCAAGGACATAAAATTATAACTCGTAGATAATACACGAAGCAGCGTTGAATATGCTGATGAAAATTAGCCTAGAAGCAACCTCGTAACATTCCTTCCTAATTATAATATCAATTAAATACACACACACACACACACAAAATCGCGCGCGCGCGCACTCACGCTCGCACGCACGCAGACGCACACGCACACGCAGACACACGCGCACACGCACAAATTGAAGCTGCAAAGCTGTCTGTTTGTATATAATTATTGTTGTCTATTGTGAAATAGTTAATTAGGCATACCAACATTTGTCAACAGTGCGCCAGTCTCAGATTATTCTATATTTGGAGGCGCCAAGACACGATTTTATTTTTTACAGATACGTTTGTCTTTATGACAAATATTATAAGTAAAATAAACCTTAAATCATTCAATCATTCCATACAGCTCTTCAAAGGTCCTCTGCTGAAAAAGGCCTACCCAAGGAATGCCATAAATCACGGAGTACTGAGTCACCTGCACCCATCAACTTCCTGCATCTCTTTCCAGATCGTCACTTCATCTAGTAGGACTGCTCTACACACCGCTTACCGGTACGAGACTGCCACTCTTTCTTCCCCATCGACTGTCGCTTCTTCGAGCTATTTGGCCGGCCCATTGTCACTTCAGCTTACAGATTTGTTGGGCTATATCGGTTACCCTGGTTCTACTACAGATATCATCATATGACGAATTCTTTGGAAACGCCGATCATAGCACTCTCCATTTTTTTGCTGAGCGAATGGGCATCCAGCATAAGTACAGCATTAAATAATCACGTCTCTCTATTTGTCATCACTGACCATACGCCCTGGTGGTACACTCTATTTTCAGGTTTTTAAAAACGTTAAGAGAAGAAACGTCGGAATCTCCCGGAAGCTGCTCAGCTGAGTGGTATCCGTCGACTGACCTGTCGATCGAAGTAGGAGTTTACATAGTCCCACTTTTTCATAGGTAAACATACTTGTCAACAAAATCGAGCGTAGTGTTCCCGTCAACTACCGGCATAGGTGTTACATGGACATTTATTTCAAGAATACAACGATGCCCTGTCTTTGAACTGTTTGCAGCTGTTGGATAGGTATTCGGTTAGCCATCGTAACCGTATTCTACAAGTCCTCCACTCGCACTCACTTCGATATACCGATAGACAATCTTGTTCCGCTGCAGAGATTGTAGCATCGCTCAAATTTCGACGGAATAAAAGGCTTGTTCATAGTCCACATACAAAAGACAACAGACAGAGTGTACTCATCGGTCTTCTGTAGAATTTGGCGAAGGGTATATCTCTATACCCTTCGCCAAAGTAAGTCGCCGAAAAAAGTATGTTGTCTATTTTCGAAACCCGGCTTGTTCAAGATGCTGAAAGTCGTCAAGATTGTGAGTGAGACGATTGGTAATAACTTTCGAGAACAGCACGTAATTGCGGCTCAGAAAAGAAATCGCTCGAGCTTCTCAAATACTTCAAGTACGGGTTTTCACCTGCTTTCAGAGCTCCGCTGTGATTCCATTCTCACCCGGATGAAAAGAAAAAAGTATTTTTATAGGTAGCGAATATCGAATAAACACTCTAAACCTTAATCTCCCCCATCGTACCCCTCGTGCACTAACATAGAACCTCGAAAACTTTCAGCCCATATTACAAAATCGTGTACAGTGCCTAAAAATTGCAATACAATGGACGATATAAGTGTCAAGCTCGTGGAACTGTCCATACTGTCGGGGCTAAGTTCTGCAAGACCCGTGGCAACGCAATAACTCTCCGACCACTCTCTTAATCTCATGAATGTTAGACGCAAAATTAAACTGCAGTCCTCGACAGATATGTTAGCATTCAAGCTATGAACATTTTTGATTGAGACGCAACTTTAATGCAACTTGTATTAAAGAAGGTATTGACCGGAACCAAGGTTCCAGAGTCTTTGAGAGAACTCTTTCTATCGGAAAGAGCCGACTATCAAAGTTGAAATATTTTATCATAAGCTAGCATCAATACTGTTATAATAAAACCGGTTCGATTCAGATTTTCGCGTAATAAATACGCTTGGTTGTTTTTTTATTTTGACTCTTGTGAACGTGATGGTTTTACTACCATCCATTGGAAGACATAGCGTACCTTTTTGGAATTCCTCACAGTCGTCTCTTTCGAGACACATGGAACGAAAAATAGTGGCAAATTATCTTAAGCCATTATTTTAAATACGGCGGTGAAATTAAGAAAAATATTGTATCCATTTTGTGAATTCATATTATATTCATCATCTCACTCTGAGGCAAAGGACTTTTTATGACACAATATAATAATGGACAACCCACGGTAGCCCGCTTGTATTGAAATTTATATATTATAACACAAGCACAAGTTCGATCCCCGCCAGAACCACAGGTATTGTTATTTGTAATTCAAAGTTCTAATTAACGATAACCTGGCGAAGATTGTAGTGTACTATCGTCTAGTCACACAAAATCTATCAGTAATTATTTGTTAGCAATATTTTGAAATTCCTTGGCGACAATTTCTATTCTGTGCGATTGTTTGAACACAGACTATTAAATGTTTGACATTGACCTTAAACTAATATAACTAATAACGTATTACCTACCTTGGAACATTGGCATTATCAACGTCAACAATGTAAGTACTACTCTCAGAACAATAATTAAAGCAAATTATTACACTGAGTAGTATATTTTGTTTTTTTTTTTATTTAATGTACGTACTTTTAACACATATTATATATAATTTCTTTTTGCTTTTTGAACTCCTTCTCCATTTTAACTTTAACTATGCCACATCTCACACTCCGTGCGAGCAATATACTTATAAAGATACTATTGTACTACCTGGGTCCTATCTTACAATCTGACAACTATGTAAAAAAGTGAAACTGTAAAAAATTGTACGATAAAAACTGTTTGGTAAAGATACAAAATTGTAAAAGTAACAGTGCCAAATATATACAATTTGTCGACAAAAATATGATAAAGCAAATTTTAAGATGTAACTTTTATTCGAAAGGGTCGTAGTGAAAAGACTCGTCGGTACCCCGCGGAATAAGCGCTAGCCATAAAATTTTAACAGTAAGCAAGCAAACCAAGTTCGATCCGTGTACTCATTTACCACGTTCTTGAATGTGAAAGAATATATCATGATAAAATCCACATGACTAAAACTAAGAAAAAACAGGACATCAGAACTCCGCTAACACGCCTTGACCCAGTGCAGCGTACTTTTCGCTGCTCCAAATTCCTTCCAGAAATGAGGGCACGCTAGGTTACTTTATGTCTTGTGGTACATCTTACTCTCTATGTAAAGTAATGGATTTTATATCTTAACAGCTAGTTAAACTCACTTTCTACAATCGTGTATACGTGATAGAGCCATGCTGCAGCTACATATCTGGTAAAGTTGTAGCACGAATGGGTCGGCTCGACCTGAGAAGGACCACGCTTTCACAGAATACCAGCGTAAAATAGCAGCTTAACGCTGCTGTGTTTCGTATGGTGAGTGTAGAGAACCGGAGATCCTTTTTGCTGGAAACGAGGAATTCCATCTTAGTCCTCACGGGTGATAACACATCTGCATTTTGATTCATAATCGAGGATAGCTGTAGATGTTTATAGGCCACAGCAACCACTTACCAACAGGTGGGCTGTGTGCTCATTTGTCACGCTTATCCTATTAAAAAAATCGTTATCGCTGGCTAAGCTCAGTGTCGCAACTACCCACCATATGAGGCAATCTATGAGGGAGTCCTATGTTCACCAATGGCCTTTTAGTCGTAAACCACCGTCACGTCAATGTTTATCTACGTGGCAAATCCAAGCTGCAGCTATATTAGCATACAAACTACCAGCTTAATACTCCTGTGTTTCGTATGGTGAGTGAAGGAACTGAAGACCCTTTTTACTGGAACGAGGCATTCCGTCTTAGTCCTCAGGGGACATCTACATTTTGATTGTTAATTGAGGGTAGATATAGATGTGTTTGGACCACAGCATCCTTTTACCATCAGGTGGACTATGTGCTCATATGTCACCCTTATTCTATTTAAAAAAAGATTAATTCACCGCTAGTTATGTAGCAATTAAATATACTTAAAAATGTAAGCAGTACCGCTGGTGCGATCCCCTTAATGAGAATATTTTTTCATATCATGCCATTATTGTTGCAAGCTTTCAAGTAACGACAGGGTGTAAGAGAGAAAAAACATCAAAGACTGGAGAAATCCTAAAACTGTACTTCGAACAATGCAAGTAAGCCTTGTGACGTCAAACAGATGATGGACAATAAGCTACTTTAACTCAGATAACTTATCCCAAACAGTGGAGTCTGGCCTATAATCCTATGTGCATAGTTTGCCAGTACCAGTACCGTATTAGCTAGTCAAACTATCTCTTTTTTCTTAAACGTTATCCTCAGACTAAAATTTTCTTCTATATGGTGGCAGGCAGTTTACAAACATAAATTAGGCATACACACAAACATCCAGACCCGGAACAATTATTTGTAGGTCATACAAATACCTACTAGTTATGTGCGGGATCTGAATCCGAAGTCCTAAGCGCCGTAACTCAATGCCAAGCCAACTCGCCATGAAGCCGTCTATCCATAATCCCCGTTCGCCGCCGATACTTACAATTCAGACACCGTCTCCCAAGACCTAGTGGTACACAGTTATGTACTACGAGGCGACTCCGGTTAATGGGTTTTATCCCGAGGTCCGAGACCTGCTGAGGCCCGAGATTATAGCACGAATGGGTCGGCTCGACCGGGGAAGGACCACGCTCTCACAGAATACCAGCGTAAAATAGTAGCTTAACGCTGCTATGTTTCGTATGGTGAGTGTAGAGAACCGGAGACCCTTTTTACTGGTTACGAGGCATTCTATCTTAGTCCACATGGGTGAGAACGCATCTGCATTTTCAGATGTAGATGTCTATGGGAAACAGCAACCACTTACTCTTTTGTCACTTGCTCGTTTGTCACCCTTACCTATAAAAAAAAGGAGGCACACACTGAGGACAAGAATCCATAATCATGACCTACGAGTACATTGCAAGGATTGTTGTCAGTGTAAGTAATCACGTGTTTTTTCTCGTTTTAGGGTGATTTTAAAAATAACAACAATGGGTAAAGTAGCTACAGCAGAAGCTCTGCGCTTCATGGTAGATTGCTTGAAAGCGGTCGGTGCCGCTAGTACCGCTGCACAACAGCAAGCGGAACTGCTCATACAGGCTGATCGGCTGGGACATCCCAGCCATGGACTTAATAGACTTGGTAAGACAATGAATCTAAAATTATTTAGTATTATACTCAACTTTCTTCTTTGTACTATAAGTAACTGCACCTTAAACCGTAACACCTTGCGCACTCCGTGACTGATAAAAGTTGGTCAAATCGGATCAAACATTCTAATAATCAAAATCGCAGAAGAATTTTCCAACATATGGACCCAAGTTTTTTTTTTTATAGGAGAGGGCAACGAGCATGCGTCTCACCTGATGTGAGTGACTACCGCCGCCCATGAACAACTGCAACACCAGGGGAATTGCAGATACGTTGCCAGCCTTTTAAAAGGGAGTAGGCTCTTTTCTTGAAGGTCCGTAAGTCTATTCCACAAGGAAGTTGTGCGAGGAAGAAAACTTCTTCTAAATCGCACAGGGGTGGACCGCCAATCATCAAGATTGTGTAGTATCGCGAGTTTTGTCGCGATGTGCGATGGTGAAATTGAGCGGCTGGAATTAGGATGGAATTAATTATGTCGAACAATTCCTCAGAGCACTCCCCGTGATAGATGCGATAAAAAACGCAAAGCGATGTAACATCTCTACGCAGTGCCAGTGAGTCAAGCCGATCAGAAAGAAAGTTATAATATGTCTGCATATCTCTCTATAATCCCTCTTTTTTTATAATTATATATCTTTATTTAAAAAGGCTTTTATCCTACAAGGATATGTCAGCCTTATTGTAACCTAACTTATTCGTATTACACAAATGCTATTTAGAAAGGGGGAATCAATGTGGTAAGAATATGGAAATGAACGATTTTGCTACCACTGAGTGTATAATCCCTCTTAGAACCAAAAATACGCAGCTGCAGTGCTGTTTCCTATATAAACTAGAAATTTCTTCAAAAATCGTTAATAGTGAATAAATATACGTGGTAGAGCCATGCTGCAGCTATATTAGTAGTATAGTTGTAGCACGAAGGGGTCGGCTCGACCGGGGAAGGACCACGCTCTCACAGAATACCAGCGTAAAATAGAAGCTTAACGCTGCTCGTATGGTGAGTGTAGAGAACCGGAGACCCTTTTTACTGGAAAAGGGGCATTCTATCTTAGTCCTCACGGGTGACAACGCATCTGCATTTTGATTCGCAAACGAGGGTAAAAGTAGATGTCTATGAGTCACAGCAACCATTTACCATCAGGTGGACTGTGTTATCACCCTATCCTATAAAAAAAAAGTTTTATTTACAATTGTGGAGGTGATTGAAAATATGTTCGTGAATAGTCCTGGACGGGGAAATATAGTGGGAGGAGCGCACTATATATAATGGTAGTACAATGTCACAATTCTCTTGATGGTAGGTAGCCATTGCAATCTTGCCCAAAAGAGTAATTTTCATAATATCCGCCCGCTGTAGTAAAGGAAAGTCTCATTATTCCTACCTTTCTAATGCGCTTTCATACATCTTATTTTAAATGTGAATCAATCAAAATCAACGAAATTTTGTTAGCATGATCTTAGTCCAAGAGGAATCGGTGCATAAATACCGAAAGCTATTCCTCCTCAATTTTTTATTCGATTCATCCAAACTTGGTATTTATCAATCCTTTAAAAATTCATAACTCCGAAAATATTAACTTTATCGTAAAAATATAAAAAATGGTGCCGTTCGAAAATAACAATTCCTTGCAATTGAAAAAAAATCGATTTAAACAATATGACACCGAGTTGATGCATGGCAACATGCATTTATATCATCAGTAGGGCATTTTGAACGGAATCGCATAAAAAAATTGAAGTGGAATAGTTTTCGGTATACTCATGTGTCGATTTTATTTTTACATTCATGGACTATCTAGAAAACAATGTTTCCGCTTCAGGAAGCGGATACTAGAGACAAATATCATGCGAGGGTAGCCGAAAAGCTTGACACCATCGATGGCAGAAAAGAATGTGTGGAAAGAACATAGCAGAACCTTAGAGATGGAATGGTAAGTGCAGCGGAAGAAGTGTGTGGAACGATAAAAAGAGGTAGTAGTAAAAGAAGAGATGCATGGTGGAATGATGAAGTGAAAGAAGCTGTAAAGAAGAAGAAGAAAGCATGGTTAGACTACTTGGCCTCTAGTAATGATAAGGATATGAGAGAGAAGATGAAAGAAAGATATAAGCTGCAGAAAGTTCACACGAAAGCATTGATTGAGGAAGTGCGTGAAAGGTGTAGAATGGAAGCGGACGAAAGGTTGTCGCACAACTTTAAGGAGAACTCCAAACTCTTCTGGAAAGAGGGTGGAAGGACCCGAAGTGGTGCGACGGCCTTAAGAATGAACAAAGTGCTTTCGAGAACCAATGACGTCCTCTCAGAAAAATCGGACGTCATGCAGCGATGGAGCGAATTTTATAGAGAAATGTATGCGTGTGATGATCTTAGTGAGGGATCCGGGGGTGTCGCCGTGACTGGTACGCCAGACCCGGACCTTGATGACACTGAGGTCATCAGTATGAAAGAGATTGAACGTGCGATTTGAAGTTTGAAATGTGGTAAGGCTGCGGGACTAGACAGAGTTACTACTGAAATGGTCAAGTATGGTGGGCCTCGCGTCTGGGACAGCTTTCATCTGCTGTGCGATTTGTGCTGGCGGACGGGGGATGTCCCGGATGATTGGCGATCCGCAGTCATTGTGCCTTTATATAAAGGTAAAGTTTCACATTTTGACTGCGGGTGCTATCGGGCGATCAGCTTGACCAGTTTAGTAAGTAAAGTTTACTCGAAGGTTTTGACACGTAGGATGCAAGAGAAATCGGAAAGATTTCTATGGGAGGCACAATGCGGATTTAGACCTGGAAGAGGTTGCACGGATCAAATGTTTTCTCTCCGCATGATCACGGAAAAGCTTCTGGCTGCTAACCAAAAGATTTTCTGTGCTTTTGTGGATCTTGAGAAAGCATTTGATAAGGTTGTAAGGAAGAAAATGTGGGAACTGTTACGGGGTATGCTGTATGGTGTGGATGGTCGATTGCTAAGGGCTGTGCAGTCACTTTACTGTGACTGTAAAGCCTGTGTGCGGGTAGGGCATGACCTGTCACCAATGTTTGGCGTCCAAACGGGCGTAAAACAGGGTTGTGTCATGTCTTCCTGGCTGTTCATACTGTATCTCGACAGCTGTTTACAGAAGCTGAAATATAGCTGTTTGGGTGTGAAATTGGGTGACATTAAAGTAAATTGTCTGCTGTATGCTGATGATGCAGTGCTTTTTACACCATCAGAGGCAGAACTGCAGGCATTAGTCACGTGTATGAAAGAGGAATGTGAAATGAAATGGCTCCGTTTGAATGCTAATAAAACTAAGGTTCTGGTATTTGAAAGGGACGAAGAGAGAACGAAGTGTGAAATATGGGTAAATCAGGAATGTTTAGAACAGGTAAATGAAGTTGTATACTTGGGGAGTGCTTTTAGCCGGGATGGAAGATGTGATTTAGATGTGGACAGGCGTGTCGCTGCCGGGAACAAAGTCAATGGTGCCCTGACTGCGTTAGTCAAAAGGCAAGGCGTAGTGAATAATGCACGCCCTGCAATACATAACGCAGTGTTGGTACCGACTTTGTTATATGGCAGCGAAACCTGGGTATGCCAGAAGAAGCATAAAAGCAAGTTGAATGCAGTGGAGATGCGATCTCTTCGTAAAATGTGCGGCGTTACCATGGCCGACCGAAAGCGAAACGAAGAGATTCGCAATATGGCAGGTTTGAAAGATGACCTTATCACAAAAATTGATAAGGGCGTGCTTCGGTGGTTTGGGCGCGTTGAGCGAATGAGTGAAGACCGAATGGTGAAGAAAATATATAGCGCGAAAGTTAATATTAAAAGGTGTTGAGGTAAACCGAGACTAACTTTCGAAGACCATGTGAGCAAATTGCTCGAAGAGTGGAGGGTCAAGAGTACTGGGATACCTAGACGTGCATGTATGAAGAAGATAACGAATCTGAAAGAAGCGAAAGAGGTATGTAAGGATCGTGACACTTGACGATCTGTTCTCTCTGGCTACCCCGTCAGGGATTGTGCGTGAAGATAAATAAATATAAATAAATAATAAGTTTATCAGATATTTATTATATAATATAAATACATAATTTCATTGTTATTTGTCAAAGATTAGTAATTTTGATCAAAAAAGGCCAAACTTTATGCTTTATAGAAAAACTAGACATAAAAAAACTAATGAAAATGAATATTGAAAGAAATGACATATCTACTACATTAATGAAATAATCATATTATAGACAAATAAAAAATTTGCGCGATATTTAAATTGGTGTAGACTCCTTTAGCATCCGTGCTCGCAACAGGAACAATACTAATAAGTACCTAAAGCACCTATGGAGGTTATGGAGACATTTATTCTCGTAAGTCCGAAAATAAATCACGCAGATTCCAAAAGAAACATTTCTATTTATCGAGATCTACTCTATTTTTCAGAATATTACGTCAATGACATCTTAAGTGGCGCTTGTTCACCGAATAATCAACCGAAAGTACTGAAAGAGAGCGCGTCAACCGCCTGGGTGGACGCGAACAATGTACTCGGGGCCACTGTGAGTCATTTTGCCATGGATATCGCTATCAAGAAGGCTAAGGAAACCGGAGTTGGATGGGTCACTGTAAAGGGTGAGATGCTATAGCTTTTGTTCACATTCACCATCAGTTTTCTTAATCCCATAGCGGGGCCACAGCCTTTCCTAAAAACATGCAATCAGGCATAATATATTATTACTTGAGAGAACCATACTCATTACGCTGAGTGCTATCATTATGCTCAATCTGCTTGCTCGCATGTTTGTAAGCGCAAACCCGATACCATTATACCTAGAATAAAACTAATATTGTAGCATTTAATTTTAACTTTTTAATTCCCGACGTTTCGAGCACTTTACAGCACCCATGGTCACGGGGGGGGGGGGGGGACTGAGGTGGTTGACGTCCTGATGTCACAGTTTTCATCTAACTATATATATCCTATAACTCATAGACTATTGATACATATACACATACACCTTAATAAATTTATATGGGACCACATGAGAAGCACCAGTTTTCAAATAAACGAAGAATCATCGAAATCGGTTCACGTAGAAAAAAGTTATGAGATAACAGATAAAAAGACATACAGTCGAATTAAGTACCTCAACCTTTTTGAAGTCGATAGAATATCCGTAAAATTATTTTTATTCCATATGCAGTATTCGCGTAGTTATAAGAAATCATTCAGTGAACGTTTATACCTACTAGTCCCAATCACCAGTCATATTTATAATGGATTTGCCGCCATCAATTAGTCCCAAAGCCACCAATCATCCAATCATTTAGCTGAGTGCGTCGCGTGGCGAGAAGATTGGTATTTGAAAAAAATATTTGCATAGCTATTCTCCCTTAGTGTCTAACCCTCCTTATTTCTACACGTAATCTTACTAAAATTAATACGTTTGAACGGTTGGACAGATTCTAAAGTCGTAATGTCGTGGGGTAGCACATATTATGGTACTTTTAAAACAATTATTACTAAATAATTTACGTCCAGCGAGCGGCGCAGTTAACGGATTGATATATTACTAAATAATTTACGTCCAGCGAGCGGCGCAGTTAACGGATTGATATAATTATAAATAAAAATAAATATTGTTTTTTGTCTTATTTTTTATCAAACTAGCCACAAATATTACGGACTTGCATTATAATAAAAGTGCATTAAACAATATGCGTATGTAAATGCCTTTACAGCCCGTAATGTAATAATCGTTACGAACACAACATACATTACAAAAAAAACAATACAACAATATTATGTAAGTAGATACTTATTAAATTTAAAAACAAAGTATGAAACAATTAAAGTAAACATGGTTAAATATACCTATATCGTAGATTATTCTATTGTACAAGCACATTTATGTGATAAGATGAGTGTTAACCACAATTTGTACGAGCATTGGGAAGTTTACTATACGACGAGGGACATCAAACTCGATTTTGCCAGGCAATTAACGGCTAATTCGGCAATCCATTGATGAGTTCGTCCAAAAATAAAATGTCGGCTATAAATCTCTTGTATTCAAGTGAAGACAACTTGAAATGTAAAAATCTAGATATATCAGATCATAAGAGTCTAGCTATTTTCAAAACATACGAGTGTATTGTAAACGATATATGTAATAAAAATTAAGGTCAAGAGACACCACCAAGGACATTATAACTGTCTCGTAAGAAGCATTATCAAACAATCGTTTCGCTCACAATACCAATTACCCAGTAAACTCTCAGGTTACTTTAGATATTTTTATTGAGATAAACATAATGTTGTTCGAGAAATGAAATTTGATCCTATTTAAAGTAGACAGCTGTGCTAGCTCAGCGGTTAAGCGCTTGCTGTAAATTTAACAGTACGCGAACAACCCGGGTGCGATCCCCGGCGGCACCAATGAAATTGTTAATTGCAACTTTTAGTGCTGATTTAATACGTGCTCAGCGGTGAAGGAAACATCGTGAGGAAACCTGCATGTCTGAGAAATAAGAAAAAAAATTATTACGAAACATGTGAAGTGCGACAAGACGCATTGAGGCAGCGCGGTGGAAATTTGATTGCTCTAAACCCTCTCAGGAATGAGGGTCTGGGCAGTGGGACGTAGATATATAGACTGTAACTTTATCTTTTAACTTTAAAAGTAAATAAACATATCGTATCGTATCATTCCCCATATCATCCCGTGGATGGCGATTTTTTTTATAGGAGAGGGGGCAAACGGCTCACCTGGTGGTAAGTGTAAGTAAGGATTGCAGTGCGTTGCCGGCCTTTTAAAAACGAGTAGGCTCTTTTCTTGAAGGTCCCTAAGTCGTATCGGTCCGGAAAAGATCGCCGGTGGTAAATTATTACACAGAGAGGTGTACGCGGAAGAAAACTCATACAGAAACGTACAATGGTGGACCGCCAGACATCCAGATGGTGTGGATGGTATCGGGAGCTTAGCCGCGATGTGCGTTCGTGAAATTTGGCGGCTGGGATTAATCCGAACAATTCCTCAGAGCACTCCCCGTGGTAAATGTGAATGAAAATGCAAAGGGATGCAACGTTTCTTCGCAGCGCCAGTGAATCGAGCCGATCGGTAAGGACTCGGTCGTCGACGATTCGTGCCGCTCTGCGCTAAATGCGGTCAAGTGGAAGGAGCTGGCACTGGGGAGGCCCAGCCCAGAGATGGGAACAGTATTCCATGTGAGGCCAAACCTGCGCCTTATAAAGTTGCAGGCTGTGAGCCGGCATGAAATACTGTCCCGCTCAGCTGAGCACGCCAAGCTTTTAAAGGCCAATTTGGCCTTCTCTTCCAAGTGTGACAACGAAACTGCACGTCACTTGATATGTCGACGCCGAGGATTCCGATACTGGCTGAGGCAACAACAAGGGCCTAGAAACTGAGTAGATACGACAAAGGGTTTCTTGTTAGCGGTAAACGCGCAAACTTGTGTCTTCTGGGGATTGAACTAGACTAGATTTAGTCGCCCCCAGTCTGAGACTTTGTTCAACAAAGTCTCGACTTCAGACACAAGCTTGTTCCGGTACTCGGCGACGTTTTCCCGAGAAATATTGGCTCGGCCAGTGTATAGAGCATCACCAGTGCTGTTATCCGCATAGCAATGAATGTTACCGGTTTGCAACATTTATTGATATGCAGAAGAAACAGCGTTGGTAATAGCACGCAGACTTGTGGAACACCAGCGTTAATAGGCTTGTAGTCGGAGCATGCACCATCTACAACGACCTTGGTGCTCCGATCTGCAAGAAAGCACAATTCAAAGTCTCCACTTCAGTCACAAGTTTGTTGCGGTACTCGGCGACGTTTTCCCGAGAAATATTGGCACGGCCGGTGTATAGAGCATCACCAGTGCTGTCATACGCATTGCATTCGGTTACCTATCCGACTGCCAAGCGTGGAAATCATGGAAAACCCCCTTAAAAGGCATTTTATGGGAAGGCTCTCTCAAACTCTGGATGATGCTCAAACAGTGTGATCGAATGTTTCAGGTTCCAATCACAACGGCATGGCAGGCTGGTGGGCACAAAAGGCAGCTGACAAAGGCTTGATTGGAATGGCCTTTACAAATACATCACCTCTGCTAGCGCCAACGAGGAGCAAACAGGTCAATTTTGAACATAACATGGACTTGGTCCATTTTATTTCTATATATACAAGTGATGTTTAATGTAGTTCATAAGGAATACCTAGTAGATACTACAATATATGATTCATTTTCTAGTCGGCGTTAGGTACGAATCCCATTTCGGTGGTTGCCCCGGCGTCCGATGGCGAAACTTTCTATTTGGATATGGCTACGACATCTGTGGCGGTGGGAAAGGTAAGTTTATCAGGAAACAACCAATATTATCCACCAAAATATTTTTAATAAAATTATTTCAACTTAGTTGAATTTGGATAACTTGTAGTTTAATTACAGCATTAACATTAACATTATTCTAGACGGTTTTTCTACCGACTTAAAAAAGGAGACGGTACTCAATTCGACTATATGTTTTTTTTTTCTTTGTTTTATGTGTGTTACCTAATAACTTTTTTTCTGGGTGAACCGATTTCGATGATTATTTTTTTATTTGAAAGCTGGTGCGTGTCATATGGTTCCATATAAATTTGATCAAGGTCTGACCAATAGTTTTTGAGTTATTCTTAATAATTTATATTCAAGTCGGTTGTACAAAATTTTAAATTTTTAATTATTATTTTTAAAACGTTAGGTACCTTAGGCACTTTAGGTAAATTGCACATGAAGAAACATCCAGACCTGGAACAATTATTTGTAGGCTGAACAAGTATTTGTTCCATGCAGGGCTGGAACTACGCAATCAACCCGCTTTTGTACAGAAGTTTGGAGCTTGCACAGCTACAGATTTGATTCTCAAGCGCAATTAATGTTTTTTTTTATAGGATAAGGGTGACAAACGAGCACACAGTCCACCTGACAGTAAGTGGTTGCTGCGGCCCATAGACATCTACATCTGTCCTCTATTACAAATCAAAATGCAGATGCGTTGTCACCCGTGAGGACTAAGATGGAATGCCTCATTTCCAGTAAAAAGGGCCTCCAGCCACCTGCACTTACCAAGCGAAACGCAGAGGTAAACCTCTACTTCACGCTGGTATTCTGTGAGGTCGTGGTACCACCCCGGTTCGAGCCGGCCCATCCGTGCGACAGCAAAAGCTGCCGCGTGGCTCTACCACTGTTAACAATACATCCACGATACCGTATATGTAGAAGTTCTTAGTGTGAGAGGGTAATGAATTTTGAAACAAAGTAAAATTAATAATCACTCAATGTACCACGCAACCATAACTGCAATAAGTTTCTTTTTTTTTTCATTATAGATGCCTTTTGATTTGACACTATATTAATCCGTTTGTAATAATTTGTAGGGTATTTTTTATAAATATAACTAAGAATCCCATTAACATTACTAACATTCTCGTTAGCTACTCCAAATAAGCTTAAAATGCTTATGTTAGGAGTGTTTCATGACAGTAGTCGAATGGAGGATTCAAACTCACGATCCCCGAATTTGCAATCCGCACCCCTTAACCATTAGGCTCGTTTATGTTCGTTTTTGTAAGGTTATGCTTCATTATTTAATGATTCATTGTTTTCAGATAGAAATGCAGCTCCGTAAAGGCGAGCCGATACCAAACGGGTGGGCTCAGGGACCTGACGGCAAGGAGACAACTGACGCGGAATTGGTTAGTACACAAAATTAGTAGCAGTATAAAGACACACCCATTTCGTTCTGGGTATTGAAATAGGCGACAGTTGTTGGATAACCATCACTTTTACGACACACGTAAAATATTCAGACCGATGACACGGAGCACAAACAAGGGCCAAAGGTACTGCGAGACACCTGCTTCTGCGATCGCTAATCTTGCAAGTTTTAAATATTTATTTATTTAATCTTAATTGTTAACACCTAAATAACTAGGGTAAGAAATAGCCAACTTAATGCCTAACGGCATTCTCTGACAGTCAACCAGTGGAGTGATGAGATCTTGTGGCAGGTGCAAATATCTACTAATATATACATATAATATACAAAAACTTTACATATGGTGTATGTAATTATATGAAAAAAACATAGATATAATATACATAGATATAATATATACGTTACATATGATAATAAAATACATATTTTGAAATTGCAAATAATAAAACATCTGAGTAAATGTATCAAAATATATCATCATCATTCTTAACGTCCAGCATCGCTTCTTTAAAAATAAAGTTCATGTACCAACTGTTTAAAACTGTTAACTTACTTGGCGCTCTTACGTTTTGTATATACTAAACGTGCTTGCAACATAGAATTATAATTCTATGGCTTGCAAAGCTTGATGAGTATGGTAGGGAGGAATACGGGACTCATGTTCAGTGGTGGAAATTATAGACTGATGCTGAAAAGAAGGAGATGAATTTACTTCCATTCCTACTATCATCGTATTATAATAATCGTAGGTTATTGCCAACGTAGCTGGCTCGCTAAAGTGACGACATGTGCGAGGTGTTTAGAAACAACTGTAGTAGTCTTGAGAGAATCAAGTAGTGGTCTATTTAATGCTATTCAGTGGCGGATTATCCTTAAGGCAAACCAGGCACGTGCCTAGAGGCGCAAGGTTTCAAAGGGGTGTGCGCGGAAGTTTTTAAACTAAGAAAAGAATAAATAAGTTAACTTACATAAAATAAAAAATAAACTTTCTAAAGAGATGTAGACCTACCGAAGCGCGCCCCGATTTCTTTGTTATTCCTACATCGCCCTCATTCTCTCATCACATTCATACGTCCCACTGCTGGGCACAGGCGTCCTCTCATTTCGGAGAGGGTTTTAGGGCAAGGAAATGTCCACCGCGCTGCCCCAATGCGTGTTGGCGAACTTCACATGTCTTCGAAATTTTTTTTTCTTATTTTTTGACGTGTTCTATTTATTTTGCAAGTAAGCAAACTATATTATAAATTATGTTATAGTTTATTTGCACAAACGTAGTTATAACCACTAGAGGGGCCCCGATGAGGTGCTAGCCTACGGTGCTATCGGCTTTTAATCCGCCTCTAAGGCTATTGATGATATTCGCGTTCTGATGAAGCTACAATTTACCCAAGGCGATTTGAAACATATGGATGCGTTAAGCCAGTGATCAGTTTAAGCAACGAATCTTATGATACCTATGGCAGCTGTAGGCTAATGACGCATTTTATTTATTTTTTATTTAATGTGATATTTTTACTCCAGGCTTTCAAGACACAATGCCTTATGCCGTTGGGCGGTGGCGAGAGGACATCAGGATACAAAGGCTATGGACTAGCAGCTATGGTTGAACTGTTTTGTGGTATCTCTTCAGGTGGGTGATGATTTTACATCAGAAAATACCTTGTATGATGACTTCTTCTAAATCATTTTTCTTTCTTCTTCATCATCATTCATCATCATCATTACAGCATTTCATAAGTCCACTGCTGAACATAGGCCTCCCACAAGGAATGCCACAAAGCACGGTCCTGAGCCACCTGCATCCATCCACTTCCTGCATGTCTTACCAGGTAGTCACTCCATCTTGGGGGGGTGGGGGTCGCCCTACACTTCGCCTACAGGTACGAGCCTGCCACTCAATAACCTTTCTTCCCCATCGGTTGTCGGTTCTTCGAGCTATGTGGCCGGCCCACTGCCACTTCAGCTTACTATTCCGTTGGGCTGTGTCGGTTACTCTGGTTCTACTGCGGATATACTCATTTTTCAGTTTATCACGCAGAGAAACTCTGAGCATAGATAGCCCTCTCCATAGCTCGCTGAGCGACCTTGAGCTTCCTCACACGGCCAGCAGTGAAGGACCACGTCTCAGATCCGTAAGTCATCACTGGCAACACGCACTGGTTGTACAATTTCGTTTTAAGTTTTTGAGGTATGTCTGACGAGAAGATGTGTCGTAGTTTCTCGAACGCTGGCCAGCCGAGTCGAATCCGTCGATTGACCTCTCGGTCGAAGTTGGACTTACCTAGTCGGACTATTTGCCCTAGGTAAACATACTCGTCAACAACTTCGAGCTTAGTGCTCCCAACAACTACCGGCATAGGTGTGACATGGGCATTAAACATGATCTTTGTTTTGTCCATGTTCATACTAAGACCTATTCGTTGGGAGACACTATTGAGGTCATTGAGCATGGTGCTTAGGTCCTCCAGCGATTCTGCCATAAGGACTATATCGTCGGCAAATCGAAGGTGAGTGATGTACTCGCCAATGATGTTAATACCGTATCCTTTCCAGTCCAGAAGCTTGAAAACGTCTTCCAATGCAGCGGTGAAGAGTTTCGGGGATATAACGTCACCCTGTCTTACACCTCTCTGCAATTGGATAGGTTTCGTACTCTGGTTCTGTACTCGGATAGCCATCGTTGCTCTACTGTACAAACGCTTCAGCACTTCGATATACCGACAGTCAACTTGGCACCGCTGAAGGGACTGCAGCACCGCCCAAATTTCGACGGAATCAAAGGCTTTCTCATAGTCCACATACGCCAGACATAGTGGCAAATTGTACTTTTCGGACTTCTGTACAATTTGCCGAAGGGTATGCATGTGGTCTATGGTGCTAAAGCCCTTTCGGAAACCGGCTTGTTCGGGAGGCTGAAAGTCGTCAAGTCTGCGCGCGAGACGATTCGTAATAACTCTCGAAAACAGCACGTAGACGCGGCTCAGAAGGGAAATCGGTCTGTAGTTCTTCAAAAGAGCGTTGTCACCTTTCTTGAAGAACAAGACCACCGCACTTCTGCTCCACGCCTCCGGTGTAATGCCACCATGGAGGACGGAATTAAAGAGCCTCTAAAGGACTTCAAGTACCGGTCTTCCACCCGTTTTCAGAAGCTCCGCTGTGATTCCATCCTCGCCTGGGGCCTTGCTGTTTTAAGGTGCTGGAGAGCCATTCTAATCTCGCTCAGAATGACGTCCGGGATTCCGGAGTCTCAGCTCGTCGCTATTTACGCGCCACGCTATTTTATGCGCTGCCATACCGTTTAACAGTGTTCGCGCAAAACGCTGTTGTCGGAATCGACGTCTAGGGGGCGCGCGGCTCTGGGCGATACCGGTTTGAAGTTCGTCCGAGCGTGGAGTGGCGCGCGGGTCGCGAGCGAAAAGTCAGTCGTCCTTAGGCAGTGCTCACGATTGGCACGCTGCCAATTAAGCGCGGGAACTCGGAATAATTAAGCGCGGACAGTAAAAATACGGTCTAGGAATTTTGTGTCGCGTATCCCTACTGGAGAGCTTCCCCGGGACTTATTGGGTCCGACTCAGAATCTGTATAAGTGCATTCGACAATATTAGCTAGTGTGGCCTCTGTATTCTAGAACTAACTGTTGCAACGCGAAACGGGAGTGACCTTTGATCCAAAAACTCCGTGCGTGTTTTGTGTGGTAACCTTATACCCCGCGATAGTTAGTGGCTTCTGTAAGCTAGTTAATCATACGATAGAGTTAAGTGACTGTTATCGTGACGAACAAGGAAAGTGAATGTGGACAAAGCCTCGGAAGGCCCCCTCAAGTTGGAGCGGTGTCGACGCCCGGGCTGCTGCCGACGGCTAAGGTCTAGGTTCAATCACCATCAGTCACACCCAGATACACACCACATCACCATTCTTTCCCTTGCACTACACAACCACATGCGACCTGACCGACTCCGGAGGGACCAGTCGCCTTGGATATAGGTAAGTAAGCTTCGTCCAAATTCCTTCCTGTCGACTGGCCGTAGTATAACGCTCCCCCATTTATTTTAGTGTAATTAGAGAGATTCCACGTGGCCACATTGAGGCTCGGCCTACGTCTGCTCGGGAAGTCTTCAGCTCATGGGCCCCTGAGGATCTGATCCTTTAAGGGAGCAGCCGTAGGCCGTAACAATCAGATTACGGTAAAACTTTGTCCACTTATTGGTTGCACTTACGCGAAGGTTATAGGCATAGTACAGTTAACTTACAGTAGGTGGCGCACGTAACATATCGACAAAGTTTAAAAATTATATTTTTTTTTATAGGATAAGGGTGACAAACGGGCACATAGTCCACTTGATGGTAAGTGAACGCTGTGGCCCATAGAGATCTACATTTATCTTCAATTAAGAATCAAAATGACTTCAATTAAGAATGAAAATGATTAAGAATCAAGATGACCTGAGGGCTAAGATGAACTGCGACGTTTCCAGTAAAAAAGGGTCTCCGGTTCTCTACACTCACAATACAAATTTTACGCTGATATTCGTCTTCAATTTTATATCTCATCTCTTTGCGTATTTTGTCGCATTTACCACGGGGAGTGCTTTGAGGTATTGTTCGGACTAATTCCAGCCGCTCAATTTCACCATCGCACATCGCGACAAAACTTGCGACACCATCCATACCATTTGGATGATTGGCGGTCCACCACTGTGCGATTTAGAAGATGTTTTCTTCCTCGCACAACTTCCTTGTGGAATCGATCACCACCAGCGATTTTTCCGTACCGATACGACTTAGGGACCTTCAAAAGAGCCTACTCCTTTTTAAAAGGCTGACAACGCATCTGCAATTCCCCTGGTGTTGCAGTTGTTCATGGACAGCGGTAGTCACTTACCATCAGGTGAGCCGCATGCTCTTTTGCCCCCTTTCCTATAAAAAAAATATATCATTCAACTTCAATTAATGTATAATAATTCCGAATTAAACAATATAACCCTTCAAAATTAAAAACGATGTTTCAACAATTGTTTCTTCTGCGGCTGCAACGCGTCGGGTACTCGTACAATCTAGTGATTAATATAACACTTTTACCGTTACCGTTACAGCCTAATAAAGTCCACAACTGAACATAGGCTTCCCCCCTTAGATTGCCTCATAGGGGGGATATTTGTGACAGTTGCCACGCTTGGCAACCCCTGTTTTTTTTATTTTTAGTCGTTATTAGGAAGACGCTGCTGCCCACATCTTGATTTGTTTCCCTTCTGTCGCCTCCTAGGACACCCACGGGATGATATCCTATACTATTGTACAAGCAACATATATTAGTTCGGGGCAAAGCTTCTTCGTATTTATATACAAATTCAAGACTTTTTTTTCAAAGGTTAATTACATTTAATTTTAATATATATTTGCCATTTTGCTCGATAACGTATTGCCATTTAGGTAGGTAGTGACAGACAAAATCCCTTTTCGGTAGAAGTCTTGGGATTTTTGATCAAAAAAATCCGACAAGTAGTTTTAACAGTTCCATCTTTATGTTAACCTAACACTACCCAAAGAATTCTGAAGAGACTAAAACAGGTGAAAATCTGAGGGTGCAAGGTCAGGACTATATGTAGATGCACATTAACACTTCGCAACCAAGCTCTTTTAATTTTTGCTGAGTGGTCGGGCGTTATCATGACCTTTTCTGTTGATAAAATCCGGCCGTTTTTTCTTAATTTCTTGCTTGAGTTATATTAGTTGTTGGTAGCAAAGATTCGAATCGATAGCTTAGCCCGGTGGTACGAGTCGTTTATTATGCCCTTCCAATGCCACCATACACACAGCATCATCCAACCCTTCCAATCCCACCATACACCTCATTCCGTGTAAATCCGGGTTTCGCTACAGTCTGTGGAGCTTGACTACTCTTTGAACATGATCTTTTTCGCACATTCTTGTCGTAGGTGATCCACTTTTCATCACCAGTGATCAGTTTCATTTCAATTAAAATCGCAAATGAGCAGACGATTCATGAGGTTTCTTTCAGTGAACTCGTGTGGTGCCCAAATATCAAGCAATTTTTTTCGTCGCTTGAGTCGCATTTTTCCCTTTTTTGAATCCATGTTTTTCTGTAATAAAACTTCAAAATGTATAGAATTTCTTCGTTAGATTCACTCATTTTGGCGGACAGAAAAACAATTGAAAATGGGGGGAAAGTGTTTTTACTTTTTATTTTTATTTTTCTTAATGTCCTATATTTATAGATATTAAAACCAGCCAGATTGAAGAAAAATCTCTTTGGTTGTACAAACAGTATAACCAAAGAGATTTTTCTTCAATTTTATACAAACAAAATACGAAGAAACTTTTTCCCCGACCGATATTTCTCCGACCGATATTTGATTACATTCGCGTTTTCGAAAACGACTAGATTTCGATGAAATTCGCAATGTAAAATAAATTAAAAGTAAAAACATTTTTAAAAACAACTTCTATTTAAATGCTCCAAAAAGAAGAAAATAAACTTTAAATTAAATCAAACTCATCAATTTATATTATACAGGGTTATTTTGCAATAATCGGCCATATTTGTAGAGAAGGTTCAGAATAAGTAATACCGATAGGCAAATGATGAAGAAAAATTAATTAAAAAATATCTCAAACATTCTGTCCTTTTTATCTTTTAAATTTAAAATGCGTGGTAATGCATTATTTTAACTGATTTTACTGCGCACGCAAACATTCATAAGGGTCGATCGGTTGGCAAAATCGTTGTTGCCCATAAATCACATTCGACCTGGGATAATTTCAAATAAAAGTGGCAGCCTTATTTACTCGTATTGTCAAAAACTGCAATAACAGTATATTGTTATTTATATAACTGAACTTAAGTTTAAAATTTAGCTACTCTTTAAAAAAAAACCGTATAAAAATATGTCGCGTGATTTACCTATATTATAAAAAACTATTTATTTATTTAATAAGTCTACCTACAATTGTTACAATTTAACATACTAAATCTAAAAGTATAATATAGTCTTATACCTATATAAAATTACTTACAGGTAAAACACCGCTAAGCCATAATTAAAATCTTCATTTACATATTATGTTAAGAAAAAAAAATTTAAACATTTTAAAGCGAAACAACCAGTACTTTAGATATTATGTGTAATAAGTATGCAAAAAAAAATACCTTAATTTAAAATTGTATATCTAACAAGTACCTACATACGAAACTTGTACGAGGAAACAAAATTTTTATCAGTCCGGCTACTGACGGCTGATCCCATTACTGAAAACATTATTTTATTCTTAGAATTACCTACTATGTCAATATCAAGTTACATATTGTATTCTTGTTTATGTACACAGGTAAATCTCGCAACAAGCTATTATATCATATAAATTATGTAATGTTTTATACGTGGTAGAGCCATGCTGCAGCTATATAATAGTACCTATAGTTGTAGCACGAATGGGTCGGCTCGATCGGGGAAGGACCACGTTCTTACAGAATACCAGCGTAAAACAGCAGATTAATGCTGCTGTGTTTCGTATGGGGAGTGTAGAGAACCGGAGACCCTTTTTACTGGAAACGAGGCCTTCCATCTTGGTCCTCACGTCTGATAACGCATCTGCATTTTGATTCGCAAACGAGGATAATGTAGATGACTATGGGCCACAGCATCCACTTACCATCTGGTGGACTGTGTGTTCGTTTGTCACCCTTATGCTATAAAAAAAGTAATAAATTGATGAGTTTGATTTAATTTAAAGTTTATTATCTTCTTTTTAGAGCATTTAAATAGAAGCTTGTTTGACATGACATGTTTCTAAGTCTGTTCATTTCATTTAATGCCTCATTATTGGTTTTTGATCGCCACCATGAATTTTTTTATCGCCAGCAGTTGATCCTTGTCGGTCCCTATATTTGTACGAGCATCATCAAACTATCCCTAACTGTTACCGCCACTTCTCAAATTAAAATATTCCGCATTTTTGGTCAATCTTATTAACGAATCAGATTTCCTCTATAATACCATTCATTCATTCCATTCATTCCTTCTTGCGACCGACAATCGGGTAGAAGAAAAACGCTTAGCTTTAGTAAGTATTAATTGTATTTATCGCATCATATTATTGTTATCCTTTTAAAGGCGACCCTTTAAGGGCGGTGGAAATGTTACCGCCACTTCTCAAATTAAAATATTTCGCATTTTTGGTCAATCTTATTGACGAATCAGATTTCCTCTATAATACTATTCATTCATTCGATTCATTCCTTCTTGCGACCGACAATCGGGTAGAAGAAAAAGTCTAAGTAAGAACACGCCCGCACGCAGAAGCATATTGTATCACGCTCACTACACACGCACACGCATATCTATTTAATTATCATACGCTAAAATCACGGCCGTGAATTGTATAAAATAAGTGTAAATCGCGCAAGAAAACTAGGAGTATACCACGCGAGTGTCAACCTCAAGTAAGAAGAGAAGCTGACGACGTTCTCCAGGTGCGTACCTTCAGTTTTATGTGTCGGTTGCAAATTTCAACGAAATCCAATTCCAACTACCTATTACAGTCCACTTTATTCCAATATTGAACCACGCGTCACCACTAACCTTTGCCGAGTTATAACTCTTCAAAATTGGTATCTCGGCCATCTTGTTTTCCGCCATTTTGATTTTTTTCACCACCGCTAGAATTTTCCTAAGGTATAGGTCGATATTTGTTAAGACACGACCCCGCTAAGTCTTGCATGCATCTCCTCGAAAGCTGAACGCCATACTGAACGCTGATGTCATTTCATTCGTATTTTTTTCAGCAAACACTTTCATTCGATATCCATATCATGGGGGTGTATAGAAAATAACTAGTTCGCCATCTTAGCAGTCTGCCACATTGAATTTAGAATGACGGCACTTAGATACTTGACATTGGCAGAATTCTAAAAAAGAGGGGCCATAAAACTAAGAAAGAAGAAGAAGGCACTTAGATACCTAACTAACCTTGCATAGTCAACCAAACTAAACATTCCCGCAAAATTTCATCTCAATCGGTTGAGAATAACTGCTTTAAAATTCAGCTGCAAGATTTTTGATTCTAACAAACAAACATTGAGAGTTAAATAAAAGTTTTTAAAATATACACATAGTAATCGGATAAAAAGACATTTCATCATAATGTTTATTATCATCATTAAAGCCCTTCACATTTCCTTTGCTCAACATAGGTCTTTCCCAAGGGATGCTATAAAACACGACCCTGAGCCACCTGCATGCATCGACTTCCTACATCTTTTGCATCTCACGCCAAGGCGAGTTGAATCCGTCGATTGGCCTCTCTGTCGAAGTTGGACTTACCTAATCGGACAATTCAACAAATCCTTGGTAAACATACTCGTCAACAACTTCGATCCCCCCAACACAAGTAGTGCCCCCAACACAAACTTCCAAAGACATTTAATATAAATAATTTAATTTCGCTAATTTTAAGGGTCAAATTACGGTCACCACGTACGGTCGTGGTCACACAGCGGTGACGGCGGCCCTGCCAACCTCGGCCACTGCTTCGTCGCGATAGATCCCGAATGCTTTGCCCCCGGCTTCGGATCACGTTTGACCGACAGTATGAGACATTGGAGGCAACTGGAACCGGTAATTATGTTATTTATTTAAAATTTGTTGGATTTAGCTGTTACACGACTCCACAGATTAGATTATTCATTCGTGGGACAATGTGTAGAATTTTTTTTATAGGGTAGGGTGACAAACGAGCACACAGTCCACCTGATGGTAAGTGGTTGCTGTGGCCCATAGACATCTACATTTATCCTCGTTTGCGAATCAAAATGCAGATGCGTTGTCACCCGTGAGGACTAAGATGGAATGCCTCTTTTCCAGTAAAAAGGGTCTCCGGTTCTCCACACTCACCATACGAAACACAGCAGTGTTAAACTGCTATTTTACGCTGGTATTCTGTGAGAGCGTGGTCCTTCCCCGGTCGAGCCGACCCATTCGTGCTACAACTATACTACTAACATAGCTGCAGCATGGCTCTACCACGTATAAATTACATTCTACTAGGAATTAGCATTCTACTAGGAAGTCATTATTATTATTATATATTGAATAAATATGGTTTGCCAGTTGTCTAGTGGATGTCAGTGCGACTGCTGATCATGTAGTCCCGGTTTCGAATCCAGAGTCGAGCTAAAAATCGGTTATTGGGATTTCTGTCAAAAATTAGCAGCAGCAGCCGTGATTCACTCCCGTACGTAGGAAAGTACGTAAAAAACGTTGGTCCTGCGCTTGATCGTGTCAGATTATCGTAACTGTGTGGTACACGCACTCGTGCACTATAAAAGAATAAATCTGTTGTATTATGAAGTAGTTTTTATCCTGATAGTTTATACTGACTTCTTAATAAAACCCCCTTGTTTTTACCAAGAAAAAAAAGATTTTTTATCTTTTTTAGTAGACTTTTTACGTAGTCACCTTTTTTTTTTTCATAATCATAATCATAAATCTTTATTTGCAAGAATCACGGTATAAAAAGATGTTACAATTTATATAGTGCAGTCGTGTTTCGCTAATAATAGCATGCAAATTATAATTTTAAAATGTTTAGACAATATTAATAATTGTTGTAAATCTAAAAAATCTTTTAAGTCATAAAAGCATTCAATTTTTAACCAATCAAACAAATGTTTCTTGTATAGTCTTTCGCTTAATACGAGTAATTTAAATTCTTTAGTCCTTTTATTATATATTTTTACACACATATTTAGGCAGCTTTTGTTATATTTAACGAGCCTAGGAATAACATCTAGGGCAAGTTTTTGTTAATTACTGATTTAACCATTGGACTTATTTTATTTTGACCGAACTCTTTCCACCACGGGGAGTTCTCTGAGGAATTGTTCGGACTAATTCCAGTCGCACAATTTCACCATCGGACATCGCGATATAACTCACGATACCATCCATACCATTTGGATGATTGGCGGTCCACCACTGCACTGTCTGATTTAGAAGAAGTTTTCTTCCTCACACAACTTCCTTGTGGAATCGATCACCACCAGCGATTTTACCGGACCGATACGACTTAGGGACCTTCAAAAAAAGAGCGTACTCCTTTTTAAAAGGCCGGAAACGCAACTGCAATTCCCCTGGTGTTGCAGTTGTTCATGGGCGGCGGTAATCACTTACCATCAAGTGAGTCGTATGCTCGTTTGCCCCCTCTCCTATAAGAAAAAAATTAAGAAAAGCTATAAGAAAATAAACGTAGAACTATTTAATTCAATTTTGTTAGAATAACACAAATTAACTATGTTTTCAGACCGATCCAGACTTGCCAGTATTGGCGCCAGGAGACAAGGAAAAAAGATGCGCCCAAATTACTGATTCTGAGGGTACAGTTACCTACGTGAAACAACAGATTGAGAGCAGCGCGGCTCTCGCTAAGAGGCTGAAAGTTGAGCCGATGAAAGTGATAGCTGACATTTAGTACAACTAACGGTACATTCGCAAACAGATCCATTATTGATGATTCGTCATTAATAACGGTTCGTTAACGACAGACTGTTCATAATATATAATCTAAGGTAAAGATGATTAAATGTTCGCATTCAAAAAACAAATTGTGATTAACTGAATTGTGTCGTTGACGTCATCATTATTATCTTACTAAATCAAATCATTCGTATTTACAACTTTCGGTAGTGTTTAAAAACTAAAAACATTTTACGTTTTATGATGAATTAGATTTTATTATTGAAATAGGTATACATCATGCACTTACATGGAGTATACATAAGCAAGCTATGCTTATGTTTACTCGAAGATGATATACATTTTTTAAGATGTTTATTTTTGACAGCTCGTAAAAAGTGTTTCAATTGACATTCAGAGTAAGTACTATACATGTATGTTATTCTGAGGTTACTACCACAGACCTAGAAACTAAGCTAGTTTTTATGATTAAAAAAGAACCCATATAGTTTCGCCATGTCCGTACATCCGTTCGTCCGCGGTTTCACTCAGAAATTCTAGGTTTTAAATTACCTTAATCTAGCTGCATTATAACTTTGTAATGTTATTGTAAACAGAAATAAACATTTTTTGACGAAAACGACTTATGCATTACTACTATAGCTTTATGTTTTCATTTGCGGGGTAGATAGACAGGATCGATCGCGAAGAGACCGATCCTGACTTACCACTTTTGCTTATTTTTTAGTCAGTAGGTAATTTATTGTAGGCCTACAGTTTCATTTGCGGTATACTCTTGGTTTACGCGGGCGACCCTCAGGATAGTTTAGAGCAGTGTTGGTTTACGGAAAGGTTCGTTACGGTCATGTATGTCTTAGGATTACACTGCCGGGAACTAATAAATGAATGGGGAATTTTGTACGGACTTGGCTTGTGGATGATTTGATGTAGATTGTATTATTTTCAAAAGGTAAAGTTTTTTAATATTTTTTTATATCACTCTAAGTCTGCTTGAAAGATAAGTCCTTTAGTTACCATCGTCCTATTTAGACCTATTTTAGTTAGTTATAGCGGTCAAACCGCGAGCTCAATATGTTTATATTATCAAGAAGGCCCCTTCTAAGTTCACGTATTGTGCCTGGCAACAGCGGAACCAGACCTGTACATAGTGTGTGGCTCAACATACACTTGGCCAGTTTTTTATTACCCTAAGAATTGACATGAGTGTCCCGATCTGTCAAAATGATTCCTTGAAAAGAACGAATTATCAAAACGAATACGTTTTACATACCGCCAAATCGATTCATAATTTTTTCACGATACGTGAACGATATTCAAACGCTTACATGTGTTTGTGAGCTTTTCAGCGACGTATTTTAGTTTAGGCTTACGAGGCCTGGACGAAAGCGGTAGAATTTTAAGATTCGAAAATTATAAAAGTTTATTCCATAGAAGATTTGAATTTCTGTCTACTCTGAGGTGTTAAATTTAGTTGTCTTTATAATTAATACACATTTACAAAACAATAATCCTTTATACTCTTATTTCATCATTAAAGATTAAAAGCGATTTGTATTAAATCACAATGAAAAAACGGCAAAGTTGTTAGGCCTCTTATAGTTTATAAGTATCGCTTAGGATCAAATATAACCTATCAGCAATAAATCTAATCCGCTTCTATGTATATTTGTATGTACTTTACTGCTGTGAATGTATTTTAAATTAAGAAATCCTTGGTGCTATTATTAAAATTCAACAAATTACAATGAACTATATTATAACTCATTTTTATTTTCGATATCTAGTGAAGTATTAGTGTTCATTGAATCGATAGGAATAAAATTATTTGGTTATTTTATGACCAAAGAGGCAGTGTCAGACGCGTCATATTTTTATTAAAAGTGTGGCTTCTTTTTTAACTGCTAGTTTAAACCTATATTAGCGTTACTATGGTTACAATATAAGATGTACAGCCATCGGAGATGAATACATGCAGATTATTGATATACTAACACGCGATATAGCCACATAGAGTTGACTGTGCGAAAATCTGCTGGTACTAAAATCCACACCTGCTACTATCAGAGCCTGGTCATGCGCTTTGTTGATAGTTATAACGTAACATAAACTGACTGGAAAATGTAGGTACTTTTTAAAAATCGCAATGGGACACATTCAACACCAAACAAAGCTACAATACAACCTTAAAAATGCAAACCATTTGCTATATTGACATAGACAATGAAGGCTGCCTAATAAAAATTCAAGTACCTGGCCGACTGAGCTATGCTCTTTGTTAAAAATTTATAATTTTCTCGGGCATGAAACCTATCTAGATAAATTTGAAAAGGAAAAAGAAAGAAAGAAAAGAAAAATTATCTAATTACAAAATTTCATTCAAATCGGTTAGAGCCGTTTCCAAGAAACTAAAAAATATTATACAGGTATTATAGATTATACATAAATCACTCACTTAAAGTATATGATAATAATTAATACGTTATACCCAATGTTTTACAATAATACACTATTTTCAAGTATATTTAACAATTTGTTCTGGTCTGGTTGGAATTAAGTAGAGCAGCGCTTTTTCTTCCGACTTGTGCACGTTTCATATCAGATTAAGAGATATATATATATAGAGATTTTATTGAAAGAAATACTAAATGAATTAGTAGTAGTTAGTAGTCCATGTTTATCTTAATACATCATTAAAAACCACATCCAAATTGGTTCAGGCATTATGAAGATTAACGTACACAAAAGAACAGACAAACAAGCAAGATGACTGTTCACGATTTTATTATATCTAGAGCACCGCTTCTAACAACAAAATAACGTACATTAATTTATCACTGCCTCCAACTCTGATAACTTTCGTTTTTTTTTATGCTTTCATAATAAAAACAGTATGCCAAGGTATGTCAGCAAGTTCAGTTTTCTTCGTTCCTCTCCTTTAAAACTTTTACTACTTTGTTATCTTTATCAATATTTAGAGCATTTTTGTATTTTCAGATTATTAAGTTTTCGTTACTTTTAAGTTTTAAGAACAATTTATGTGCCATTTAGAAAGAAAAAAAGAAAGAAATCCGTTTATTCCAGTTTAAGCATACAGCACAAAATGTAAAAAGTAAAAATAGGCAAAAAATATTGTTATACTAGGTATTTATAAACATCATAAATTTAAAAACACACTTAATAAAACCTTGTGCTGCAGCATGAAACTGCGAAAAGGACCGGACTCAGTGATTGCACTGGTTTTCAGTCGACCCCTTATCCCGAGGCAACTCGGGCGGCTTAGTGCAGAATCTCTCTTGATGTCCGGAAATTAAAAAAATAAATAATATAAAAAATAGGCTACCTACATAATATGCAATTTCCCTGTTAAGTAAAAATTGAAGTGTCAAACTGTTCGTTGTCTATGCTAAAATTAGCTTTACATTCACATAACTACAATAATATCTTTAGATATACCTACTATGTATTCAATTTTTATTATATAGAAAGTATGATCAAAACTGCAATAAAAATATTTAAAAGATTAAGATAAGATGCCCCATGTATTCGTAAATAAATATATGTACTTTATTGAAATG